AGTTCAGGGAGAGTGACCTAGTAGCGATCAGTGAAGAGGCAGGGCCAGGAGCTTGGACTCGACCCCTGCAACCTCAACTAGGTGAGTATGCACACACACGCACACACATGCACACACACGCACTCACACGCACAAACACACACACACACACACACACACACACACACACACACACACACACACACACACACACACACACACACACACACACACACACACACACACACACATATCCAAACTCACACATTCACTCCTCCCCTCCCCACCGACATCTCATTCCTTTCCCTGATCCCCTCCCTTCCTCTTTCACCCTCCCCCTCCCCACCTCTCCCTCCTTCCCCCTCTCCCTCTCCCACTCACCCACTTGCTTCTCCCTCCTTCCCACTCCCCATATTCCCCCTAAATCCCCCTCTCCACTCCTCTCCCACATAGCCACAGTTCCTCCTCTACCTCCCCCCCCCCACACTCTGACATACACACTGCTAACCTAACACACAGAATTACATAGGTTTCCCACTCTGAGGCAATCAGGATAACACAAAAATGGGTTGCCAGAGAGCAACAAGAAAAACCAAGGGACAGGAGGAGGAAGCTGCAAAGGAAGATTGGGCAGCAGAGCTCATAAAAAGGGAACATGAATGGGAAAAGAAACTAGAAGAACTTAGCATGAGAATGGAAGAGAGGATAGATATGGAAAGCAGGAAGTGGGAGGTGCAAGTCAAAGCAGCAGAGGCTAGGATACAGAGTTTAGAAGAGGAACTGAAAAATCTGAAACAGCTTAAAGAACTAACGAACATTTTGGGATTGACATCAGAGACTGCTACCTCAGTCACAAATAAGGGGACTGTAGGGAAAGGAGCAAAACTGCATGTAGAAGCTCTATCAGAGGAGACTGTAGTAAATAAAAGAGCTAAGCTATATGTGGAGGCCCTAACAGACCACAGCAGAGCCCAGGGAAAGCCGAGAAGGGAAAATGACAGGCCGCTGAGCCCAAGTGCATTAGCTAGTGAAACTGAAGAAAGGAAAGCTGCAAAGGAGGAAATTAAATTGAATGACGGGATACACAGGGATATGCAGTGGGAGAATGAAAGGGTGAGGTCAGTCTTTGTGTATGGGCTCCAAGAAGTTGAAGGGGAAACATATGAAGAAAGAAAACAAGGGGAAAAAAAAAGCAATTGAAAGCATCATGAAAGCAATAGGAGAAGACGACATGACGCAGCTGGAAAATTTTCGGAGAATAGGGGAGTTTGTAAAAAAAGAACACGGCCAGTGAAAGTGACCTTCAAGACAGAATTGACTCAGAACAGGATCCTGCAGGAGAAAGCACGATTAAGGGACATGCCGGCATACAGGAAGGTGTATCTCGACTGAGACAGAGCACAAGAAGAAAGGCAGAAACTGAGAGAGATGGTACAAAGGCGAAAGGAGGAAAGAGAGGGGATGGAGAAGACAGACAGGAGATCCCAGACCCAGGAAGAAGATCAAATACAGCCTCCCTCACAACTTCCTATAGAAGCTGCCCAACCAGGTCAACCCCAGTGCAACCAAACACTCTAAACCAAAATGCCCATGCCACATCCAATGCCCCCACCCACTGCATTACAAACTCCACCCCCACAGCAACCACCCATAGTTCCTTATCAGGTCTCCCACTTCCCCAACCCCAATATACCTCCCAGACCACAGTCTTAGAAAAGAAGTTGAAGGTGTGGTATACAAATGCAGATGGAATAACAAATAAGTATGAGGAGTGGCACGAAAGAATCAAGGAGACATCCCCAGACATAATAGCACTCACAGAAACAAAGCTCACCAGAATAATAACAGATTCAATCTTTCCATCCGGATATCAAATCCTCAGGAAAGACAGAGGGAGGAGAGGGGGAGGAGGAGTTGCACTGCTCATTAAAAACCAGTGGGGTTTTGAGAAAATGGAAGGAATGGATGGCACTGGCAAAAGGGACTACTTAGTAGGAACAATCCAGTCTGAGGGGACATAAGGTGATAATTGCAGTAATGTACAACCCACCACAGAACTGCAGGAGGCCAAGAGAAGAATACGATGAGAGCAACAGAGCAATGGTTGACACACTAGCCGAGGTGGCCAGGAGAGCACACATGGGGGGAGCAAAGTTACTAGTTATGGGTGATTTCAATCACAAGGAGATTGACTGGGAAAACCTGGAGCCCCATGGGAGTCCCGAAACATGGAGAGCCAAGATGATGGATGTGGTATACTGGAAAGCCTCATGCATCAACATGTTAAGGACACTACCAGAGAGAGAGGGGAGGATGAACCAGCAAGACTGGACCTTGTGTTCACCCTGAGCAGTTCAGACATTGGGGACATCACTTACGAGAGGCCCCTTGGAGCTAGTGATCACGTGGTTTTGAGTTTTGAATATATAGTAGAGTTACAAGTGGAGAGAGTAACAGGAATTGAATGGGAAAAGCCAAACTACAAAAGGGGGGACTACCCAGGTATGAGGAACTTCCTGCAGGCGGTTCAGTGTGACAGAGAACTGGTAGGAAAGTCAGTAAACGAGTTGATGAAATATGTAACAACAAAATGCAAGGAGGCAGAGGAAAGGTTTGTTCCCAAGGGCAGTGGAAACTGGGCAACTGCCTGAGGTATGGAAGATGGCAAATGTAGTACCCATTTTAAAAAAAGGAGACAGAAAAGAGGCACTAAACTATAGACCAGTGTCACTGACGTGTATAGTATGCAAAGTCATGGAGAAGATTATCAGTAGAAGAGTGGTGCAGCACTTGGAACGGAGCAAGAGTATAAATGCCAACAAGCACGGATTTATGGAAGGCAAATCCTGTGTCACAGACCTTCTGGAGTTTTATGATAAAGTAACAGAAGTAAGACACGAGAGGGGTAGGTTGATTGCATCTTCTTGGACTGCAAGAAGCCCTTTGACACAGTTCCTCACAAGAGATTAGTGCAGAAGCTAGAGAATCAGGTGCGTATAACAGGAAGGGCACTGCAGTGGATCAGAGAATACCTGACAGGGAGGCAACAACAAGTCATGGTACGTGATGAGGTATCACAGTGAGCACCTGTGATGAGCGGAGTCCCGCAGGGGTCGGTCCTAGGACCAGTGCTATTTTTGGTATATTTGAATGACATGATGGAGGGGTTAGACTCAGAAGTGTCCCTGTTTGCAGATGATGTGAAGTTAATGAGGAGAATTAAATCAGATGAGGATCAGGCAGGACTTCAAAGAGACCTGGACAGGCTGGACACCTTGTCCAGCAACTGGCTTCTCGAATTTAACCCCACCAAATGCAAAGTCATGAAGATCGGGGAAGGGCAAAGAAGACTGCAGACAGAGTATAGGCTAGGTGGCCAAGACTGCAAACCTCGCTTAAGGAGAAAAATCTTGGGGTGAGCATAACACCGAGGACGTCTCTGGAAGCACACATCAACCAGATAACTGCTGCAGCATATGGGCGCCTGGCAAACCTGAGAACAGCATTCCGATTCCTTAGTAAGGAATCGTTCAAGACACTGTACACCATGTATGTCAGGCCCGTACTGGAGCATGAAGCACCTGTTTAGAACACACACTTGATCAAGCATGTGTGCAAAGTGCAAAGGTTTCCAACAAGGTTAGTTCCAGAGCTAAGGGGAATGTCCTATGAAGAAAGGTTAAGGGAAATCGGCCTGACGACACTAGAGGACAGGAGGGTTAGGGGAGACATGATAATAACATACAAAATACTGCGTGGAATAGATAAGGTGGACAGAGACAGGATGTTCCAGAGAGGGGACACAGAGACAAGGGGTCACAATTGGAAGCTGAAGACTCAGACGAATCACAGGGATGTTAGGAAGTATTTCTTCAGTCATAGAGTAGCCAAGAAGTGGAATAGCCTAGCAGGTGATGTAGTGGAGGCAGTAACCATACATAGCTTTAAGACGAGGTATGACAAAACTCAGGAAGCAGAGAGGGCGAGAGAGGACCGAGTAGTGATCAGTGAAGAGGCGGAGCCAGGAGCTGAGTCGCGACCCCTGCAACCGCAGTTAGGTGAGTACAATTAGGTGAGTACACACCATGAAGCTCTTGGAGCAGGGAGAGAGTGGACCTAGTAGCAATCAGCAAAGACACACAAACACACATACAAAATGGTAACTAACTAACACACTAGGGGCCAAAGAAAACAAACCTCACTCAAGGAAAAGGACCTTGGGGTTAATATAACACCGGGTTCATCTCCTGAGGCGCACATCAACCAAATAACTGCGGCAGCTTATGGATACCTAGCAAACTTAAGAACAGTATTCCGACATCTCAATAAGGAATCATTCAGGACTGTGTACGTTTGGCCTGTATTGGAGTACGCAGCACCAGTTTGGAACCCACACCTAGCCAAGCATGTAAGGAAACTAGAGAAAGTACAAAGGTTTGCAACTAGACTGGTCTCAGAGCTAAAGGGGTATGTCCTACGAGGAGAGGTTAAGGGAAATTGACCTGACGACACTGGAAGACAGGAGAGATAGGGGGGATATGATAACGATATGCAAAATACTGAGAGGAATTGACAAGGTGGACAGAGACAGGATGTTCCAGAGATGGGACACAGCAACAATTGGAAGTTGAAGACTCAGATGAATCAGAGAGATGTTAGGAAGCATTTCTTTAGTCACACAGTTGTTGGGAAGTGATGTAGTGAAGGCAGGATGCATACATAGCTTTAAGAAGAGGTATGATAAAGCTCATGGAGCGGGAAGAGTGACCTAGTAGCGGCCAGTGATGAGGCGGGACTAGGAGCTGTGACTCGACCCCTGCAACCACAACTAGGTGAGTACAACTAGGTGAGTACACATACACACACACACACAATGAAGGTCTTGGAGCAGGGAGAGAGTGGATTTAATATCGATCAACGAAAATTCGGGGTCAGGAGGTTGTGACTCAATCCCTGCAACCATTCATTTTAATTAAGTTGTTGTGTATAGATGCGTCACTAATGCGTGGTTGTTCTCACAGGTACTGTCCCTGGGTGCTGACGTACTGCCAGAATACAAACTACAATCTCCGCGGATACACAAGTGGACTATACTTCACTACTCCCCGTTCAAGGCGGTGTGGGACTGGATCATCCTCTTGTTGGTGATCTACACAGCCATCTTCACTCCCTACGTTGCCGCCTTCCTCCTCAACGAACAGGAAGCAGCCAGGAAGAGCAATCAAAACCAATACGACAGTCCCATTGTTATCATAGACCTTATAGGTGAGTGGTTAGTGGTAGAGAGGTGATCTCAGAGCTGCAGGTAAGTGGCTTATGTAAGAAGGTGAGTGATGCCAAGCCAGTGTGTGGCTTATGTAGGAAGGTGGGTGATCTTAGGTCAGTGAGTGGCTTATGTAGGACTGTAAGTGATGCCTGTCTAGTGAGTGGCTTATGGTGGAGGGTGAGTGATCCCAGACCAATGAGTGGCTTATGTAGGAAGGTGAGTGATCCCAGGTCGGTGAGTGGCTTATGGTGGAGGGCATGTGACTACAGCACTGTGGGTGGCTTGTGGTGGTGGAGGACATGTGATTTTAGTGCACTCTCCAGGTAAGATAGTACAAGGTGGGTTAGTTGTGTGGTCATTTAATTAGGTGAAATATAAAGCTGGGTACAGTATACATGAGTGCTTAGCTAGCACATGTTTTTAAGTGCTGTTTGTTAAGATTAAATACTCTTTCTTTTTCAGCAACTGAATGTGTTATGTAATTTATAATCGCCCTTTCCCTCTTCCACCAATTTGTTCTCCCTATCATCTTTTCCTTTTCTTTCTTTTCATTCTCCTCCTCTTCCCTCTATTCTTCATGCTCCTCTTCCTCTCATCCTCTCCCTCTTCCCTCTTCTTTATCCTCTTTCCTCTATTCTTCATTCGCCTCCTCCTTCCTTCGTTATCCTCCTCCACTCTTCATCCTCTTTCTTCTTTCCCCTCCAACTTTACCAGACCAAGGGTGACATCTTCTGGTGTTGAAGTACTGCTTGACATCAGGTTTCTCTAGGACGTCAAAGTGATACCTGAGGGAAGTTATTACTGCAGACGGTGTATGTACCTTTCCCCCCCCCTGCCTAACCTACGCTGGATGCAGATTAAATATGCTGGGCAAACATGTGTTAGCATTGGGTATCATTAGCGTGTGGAGAGGGAGGCAGGAGAGGCTATTTACATGGCTTTTAAAAGTGGCTCATAATCTCCTCATATTTCTGTGATCACCGTATTTATGCATAGATAGAAATAATTAGCTGTTGAGATAAATGTTTGACAGTAGCATCTCTTCGGACCAGTTTTTACACAGGGAGATGCTAGCAAAATTATAGAAATTAAAAATTATATGGGTCCGGACGAAAATAAGTTATGCATGATCCGAGTCACTTGGGACATGGTTCTCAGACAAATGGATAGACTAAAAACCAAACAAATCCTCAGGCCCTGATGAACTATTCTCAAAGTTTATAAAGGAATGTAAGGAGGAGCTTAGCAAACCATTGGCTAGTCTTTTCAACATATCACTACGAACTGGCATAATGTCGGATAAGTGGAAAATAGCAGATTTAATATCTATTTATAAAGCATGAGATAGGTCATTATCTTGGAATCATAGACCAATTCCTAACCTCTGTTGGGGGAAAATTGGTGGAATCAATAATTACCAAGACTATTCGAAGATTAGATAGATTTTGCCACTGAAATGGCTAGTTTATTGTGCACCCCATATCCATCCTGTGGACGGTAGTGCAAGAGCATATGGATACACAAAAGGCCTAGGAACTAGGCCCCAAAAGGGTTAACAGTGTACATATGGGTTTATATCTACATATCTACAGTTCACTTATCTGTAACAAGCAGTGGTATCTCGAGGACTAATTTCGGCCTCCACCTGTTTGAATACCACCTCAACAAGCAGTCTATATAGTAGTAATGAAATCATAAACCAAGTGATTTTAATTCATTTACCAAACTGCGGCAGGTCAGGACTCAACCCTATGAATGTTGTACTGCCTCGTGAAGCAACACAACATACACATCACCTCCTTTACAGGAGGAGGCTGAAATTAATCCTCGAGATACCACTGCCACGAGTGTCCTCGGATAACGAGAAGACATGTAGCTCTGCTGCACGTGTGATCTTTGTAGGATCGGTGGCTGAGTGGTAAAGGTGATGCATATGTTGTATTGTCTCACGAGGCGGTACAACGTTCGTAGGGTTGAGTCCTGGCCTGCCGCTGTTTGGTAAATGAATTAAAATCGCTTGTTTCATGATTTCATTACTTGTTGAGGCTGGTATTCAAACAGGAGGAGGCTGAAATTAGTCCTCGAGATACCACTGCCATGAGTGTTCTTGGATCACGAGAAAACATGTAGCTCTGCTGCATACATGATCTTTATAGGATCGGTGGCTGAGTGGTAAAGGAGATGCATATGTTGTGTCATCTCATGAGGCGGTACAACATTTGTAGGGTCGAGTCCTGGCCTGACGCAGTTTGGCAAATACGTATATATATATATATATATATATATATATACAGTGGACCCCCGAGTTTCGTGATTAATCCGTTCAAGAGAGCCTGCCAAAAGTCGAAATTGCCGAATGGCAAAACCATTTTCCCCATAAGAAATAATGGAAATAAAATTAATCCGTTCCACACACCCAAAAATATTAAAATAAATTTTTTTTTCAAATTAAATAAAGATTTACATATTGAAAACAATGAGAAATCAAGTACATGCATATAAAAATAATAATAACATTACACTTACCTTTACTGAAGACTTCTGGGTGATTGGAAGACAGGAGGAGGGGATAGGAGGAAGGTGTACACTATTGTTTGGAAGGAGAATCTCCTTCCATTAGGGCTTCAGGTATGAAGTCCTTATCTGGGGTTACTTCCCTTCTTTGTTTTTTAAAGACACTGGCACTGGGAACAACTTGAGAGTCACTGGAACCCTGTCGCGCAAAATATCTGTCCAGAGAGCTCTGTTTCTGGCGTTTCTTTAAGATTTGTCTGAAGTGGGACACAACACTGTCATTGTACATGTTGCCAATACGGCCTGCAACAGCTTTGTTAGGGTGAAGTTCATCCATAAATGTTTGCACTTCAGTTCACTTTGCACAAATGTCCTTAATCTTTGAAGAAGGCACCTTCCTCCATCTCTCTTCTCCTCCTCTGCAGCAGTTTCCTGAGCTGTGATCTCTTGCTGTTGCAGATGAAGCTCTTGCAGCTCTTCAGTGGTTAGCTCTTCCCTGTGGTCCTCCACCAACTCTTCCACATGCTCACCACTCACCTCCAACCCCAGGGACATCCCCAATGCCACACTAGATTCCACAACTGGCATAGGCTCCTTAGGGTCAGCCCCAAACCCTTCAAAATCCCTCTCTTCTACACATTCTGGCCACAATTTTTATTCACTTTAGAGTATATATCAGGTTTCTATGTTATTTATATTGTTTATTATGTCATATTAGATGAAGTGAGATAGATAAATAAGCCGTAGAGTTGATATTAGCGAAATTATTGGAGTACAGAATTCCACTGGAACGGATTAATTGTATTTCAGTTAATTTAAATGAGGAAAATTGACTCTGCAAACGAACAAATCCAGTTGCGAGCAAGATCATGGAATGGATTAAACTCGCAAGTAGAGGTTCCACTGTGTGTATATATATACAGTGGACCCCCGCATACCGTTGGCCTTACATAACGTTAAATCCGCATACCGATACATTTTATCGCTAAGATTTTGCCTCGCATACCGCTAAAAAACCCGCTCAACGCTGTTCGTCCGAGACGCGTCTAATGTGCGGCCTTAGCCAGCCTCACATGTTCCGCCGGTGGCATTGTTTACCAGCCAGCCTCCGCGGTAACATCCAAGCATACAATCGAAACATTTCGTATTATTACAGTGTTTTTGGTGATTTTATCTGCAAAATAAGTGACCATGGGCCCCAAGAAAGCTTCTAGTGCCAACCCTACAGGAATAAGGGTGAGAATTACTATAAAGATGAAGAAAGAGATCATTGATAAGTATAAAAGTGGAGTGCGTGTCTCCGAGCTGGCCAGGTTGTATAATAAACCCCAGTCAACCATCGCTACTATTGTGGGCAACAAAAAGGCAATCAAGGAAGCTGTTCTTGCCAAAGGTTCAACTGTGTTTTCGAAACAGAGATCGCAAGTGATGGAAGATGTTGAGAGACTCTTACTGGTGTGGATAAATGAAAAACAGATAGCAGGAGATAGCATCTCTCAAGAGATCATAAGTGAAAAGGCTAGGAAGTTGCATGAGGATTTAATTAAAAAAATGCCTGCAACTAGTGATGATGTGAGTGAATTTAAGGCCAGCAAAGGTTGGTTTGAGAGATTTAAGAAGCGTAGTGGCATACATAGTGTGATAAGGCATGGTGAGGCTGCCAGTTCGGACCACAAAGCAGCTGAAAAATATGTGCAGAAATTCAAGGAGTACATAGAAAGTGAAGGACTGAAACCTGAACAAGTGTTTAATTGTGATGAAACAGGCCTGTTTTGGAAGAAAATGCCAAGCAGGACCTACATTACTCAGGAGGAAAAGGCACTCCCAGGACATAAGCCTATGAAAGACAGGCTTACTCTGTTGATGTGTTCCAATGCTACTGGTGATTGCAAAGTGAAGCCTTTATTAGTGTATCACTCAGAAACTCCCAGAGCGTTCAGACAAAAGAATATCCTCAAGGCTAATTTGTGTGTGCTGTGGAGGGCAAACAGTAAGGCATGGGTCACTAGGGACTTTTTCTATGACTGGTTGCACTATGCATTTGCCCCCAGTGTGAAAGATTACCTAACTGAAAACAAATTAGACCTTAAGTGCCTCCTGGTGTTAGACAATGCCCCTGGTCATCCTACAGACGTGGCAGAGCGACTTTATGGGGACATGAGGTTCATTAAGGTGAAGTTTTTGCCTCCTAATACCACTCCTCTCCTGCAGCCCATGGACCAGCAGGTTATTGCAAACTTCAAAAAACTGTACACAAAAGCTCTGTTTGAAAGGTGCTTTGTAGTGACTTCAGAAACTCAACTGACTAAGAGAGTTTTGGAGAGATCACTTTAATATCCTCAATTGTGTAAACCTTATAGGTAAGGCTTGGGAGGGAGTGACTAAGAGGACCTTGAACTCTGCTTGGAAGAAACTGTGGCCAGAATGTGTAGACCAAAGGGATTTTGAAGGGTTTCAGGCTAACCCTGAGAGGAGTATGCCAGTT